GACCACGTGGTCTAAATGTTTACATAGGTCGGGTTTCTCCCGCCGTATGTAGGCTGCCTCCAGGTAGCGCAATATCCGAGTATTTCGTGCTCGAACTAATACTCTGAAAGACGTTTTGGGGTCAACCGAATGGTCACTATGAAGGAGATGTTTTGTAATAGAAGACCGCGGAATTTTATTCTCCTGCTTTAGAAGCCATTTAGGCAGGTGCTCAACTGCGCTGGCTGCCAATCGCCTTTGCGTTCGTCCAATGTACTTGCATCCACAAGTGCATGTAAATTCGTAAACACAATTTGACGTGGCGTGCAATGGCACGGCATCCTTCGTCCGTGTAAATTTGAAAAGCTCCAATAACGCAACCAACACCATTAACTAAATAACAGATGGTTGCCCTTGCTGCATTGAATCGCCATGAACAAATAGTAATTCCCAAGCCTCATAAAGGCCACGGAGTTGTCATTTTTAACCATAGAGACTACCTAACCAAATTTGCATCCATTTTAGACAATCCTAGTAAATTTCGTCTCGAAACGCCAGTGAATGATGAAACCAAGGCAGTGAAAGAATCCGCCGGGAAAATAACTTAACAACTGTTGTACAAAAAAATCTGACTGATACTAAAACCGCGCAATCCTTGAAACCGAGGGGCACGTGTATTCCGAGACTATTTGGATTGCCAAAGACGCATAAGAAGGACATACATCTACAACTTATTCTGTCTATGTATAATTCACCCCAACACGGACTATCATAGTGGCTTGTCAAGAAATTAGAACCAATACGACACCTATTTTAGACTTACACAATAAAAGAAAGTTTCTATGTTATTGAAGAAATAAAGCATCGGAACATTTCCAACAAAACTATGATATCTTTGGACGTTGTATTACTATTCACAAATGCCCCAGTTGATGAGACACTCGATATCATATGAGCCCTTCCGTGTGAAACCCGCCCTTTACCCGACATATTACGTGACCTGTTGAAACTTTGCGTAAAAAATCGTTCACTTTTTTGTTCATCGGACAGCTGTACAGACATCTTGATGGAGTGGCAATGGGATGTCCACTCGGTCCAACCCTTGCCGACAATTTATGGGTCAATTAGAAGAAATGTTATCAGCAAAATTGAATAGGAAAACACTGTACAAAAGTTAATTAGACGACATTTTTACTATTGTTGATAACGACGATGAAGCCGAAGACCTCATTAATGATATGAGCAATCTCAATCCTAAGATCAAATTCACAATCTAAAAGGAGCTTTGCAACAAGATTTCTTTCCTGGATGTCCTCATAACTAGACAGGAAGATGGTTCAACAAGGCGATCGTTTTCCACAAGGATACATGGAAAGGCAAATAGCTGCAATTCTTGAGCTTTGTGCCGATACAATAAAAGCGAATTTTGGTTTGCACTCTATTTTAAAGAGCAAGAAACATTTGCTGTATTGAAACGCTGGATGACAAAATATTCTGCTTCAATACAGACCTGTATAAACGGGGATATCACACAATTTCAACGAAAAGTATAGCAATAATTTACGGTCAAAATTGATTGGAGCTATCATTTCGAAAAATATGCTTACACTTTAAGGGCGACAACCCCTCTAATACCATCACGCGGCGATTGAAATGCGCTGCTGATAAAACATGCAACTCAGCTGAACTCATCTTCTGCAGCCCTAATAAGGCTGTCGAATTTCCACGGACGAAGGATGCCGTGCCATTGCACGCCACGTCAAATTGTGTTTACGAATTTACATGCAGATATGAATGCAAGTACATTGGACGAAAGCAAAGGCGATTGACAGGCAGCGCAGTTAAGCACCTGCCTAAATGGCTTCTAAAGCGGGAGAATAAAATTCCGCGGTCTTCTATTACAAAACATCTCCTTCATAGTGACCATTCGGTTTACCCCAAAACGTCTTTCAGAGTATTAGTTCGAGCACGAAATACTCGGATATTGCGCTACCTGGAGGCAGCCTACATACGGCGGGAGAAACCCGACCTATGTAAACATTTAGACCACGTGGTCAACGTCAGCTTGCCCTGGTAGACCTGAGCCCTTTTGATTTACGAAATCCATGGGCGTGTTTACTTCCCCATTTTCTTTCCTATGTTGCAATTTAAAGTGACCATTTTATTGAGTAGTCTATGCGCAGTATACGATGATATTGCTGTTTTTTTTTATTTTCTCTGTCGAAGTTTAAATCTCTGTACCTTTGTCCGTTGTTATTTGCGTTATGCAACGACAGGCTGCAGTTGCGAAGCCGTCGCGAAATTTACTGGTACCAATAAATTCTGCTGCGCTGGCCTGCTTAAAATTCATTCCGGGGAAATATTGGTTCAAGTAAGTTTATGTAACAGAGCTCTAACCGGTCATAGTTACGTACCCTAATATAACGTTAAACCGAACAGTGTTTGTCCGCTAACCATTAACAATTATTTAATTGGATTATTTCTGCACAGGTTAAGGCGTCAAGACCAAAAATTTCAAAAAGTGTAAGTTTAAAGTGAGACAGAAATCTTAGCATGACCTCTGCAGGGTTTGCTGAAAAGAGCTGCCATCGACCAGACAACAACCCTCTAAAACTGTTTCTGCTCACTCATCTGGTGTTTCAGGTCATCATGGAATGACTGACAAGAAATACGTCTGTAAATTAGTACAACACCTAGTTGCTCTTATAACATCACAGGGGTGCACTGCCTGTGCTTTACGTGCTTTCTGAGCTTTTGAAACGATTGTCTAGACGCCCTTACACGACGTCTTGTATTGTCGCCATTAGACAAGTGATGAACCGGCTCAGGAATCACGGCCAAATCATTGAGACTATTCCTTATCCCAAAAAGCGCTTCTAAAGTGCATGCCTCATGTCTTAGAGATTTACACTTATTGTCTTGCTAGTAATAAATGTGGCGATTTGCAGAATTCAAAAAGATCCAGAATTTACCTTTATGCTTACTCAGGGGTGGATTACAGATACTTTATTAATTTTCTACGCAATGTTGAAAAAAATATATATTTGAGTGTCATTAATTGGCGGTGTTTTCGAGGCCCCTCCTTCAGAATGCATAGAGTAACTGGATATATCTGAAAGATTAATGAATGGTTTTGTGCTGAAATGTCAACGCTCTGAATGCACGCATAAATGGTATTTTGCAACGACAATGCCAAGGGTAGATCAGGAGCTGTCTGTGGTTCGAATCCTACCGAACCACCGAGTTGTTCAAAGTTAGTTAAAAAAGAAATGATCGACTATAGCAATGATCAATTGTATTATCCCCTCCATTATATCCGGGCATGTCTGCCAATGCAGACACGTTTCGATTTTCGCGCAAGCAATCTGAGATTTTGGAATATTTTCTATTTCCTTTTCGGTAGTTCTCACTTGCCGGTCGTCAGCCTTCGTTCACTTAATACGCTGTATATCTTATTGGACTTGTAGCACATCTCGTAGTCAGTATCAACATAAGTCGTATCAGCAAATGATGCGGCGTTTTACATATCAAGGCGCAGATATTATCATCAGGATTTACTTTCACATTTACTGAAAAAGAAACTTGATGCTTGACAGTTGTCTAAAAACAGAGGCCACATTGCTCCCTGAATTAAATGCACGCTCGATTTTATTCATTGAAAGTGCAATTACGGGAGGTTTGCGGCAAATCGTTTTACTATAACACGTCTGTTTATAATGGGACACATCTAATTGCGGGAACAGTTAAAATACATCGCCTTCGTTCATTTCGGATTACCCGCGTAGCTCACAAAATCAGTTTCCAAATGCAGTTGTCAAAATGATCTACTGCTGCCTGCAGAGTCACCGCATCCAGAAACATAAACAAATTATTGTATATGAGAGAGGTTGATTTGTGTTCAGGAATTTCTGGAATAGATGTGGAAATCCAAATAAATAAACCTCAAAGTTAGTGTGCATTATCGTATTTTTCAACGTAATAACAAACTACTCCATTATATCACAACATTGTAGTTTAAAACACTTCCAAATATTCCTCGGCGACTTTTGAAATGCTTCAGCATTCATTGTTCGTCTTAGTTGGAAACCACCAACGTTACTCGCATTAGCTTCGCGAAACACATTTATCTGTTGGTATGCATCTTATGTAAAGGCAATTTATGCTGCACTACAAAGTCGCCGAAAGAACGATTGACAATAAACACGTAAAATTAATTACTACTCATTTGCGCTTATCACATTTTGGTTTAGTTAGGGTGTGTGTGAATAGAACATGCCGTGGAAATCTCCGCCGATTGGGGTGTCTGTGTAGTAAAATGGCGTTTACGGCTATTGCGTGCCTTAGAAAACAAGCCCTGTTATACCGTCACAAAACCGGTGAATTGTAAACGAAGTCTAACCGCCCGATAGGTGGCTTTTATAAAAGCAAGTCATTCTATCCAGGATCTATCGGTTGGTATGCATCTAATGCAAATGCATGTTATGCTGGACAACAAAGTCGCCGAAAAACGCTTAGAGATCATGCCAATGGAAACGTCAAAACAATTACTGATTATTTGCGCTAATGTCAATTTTCTTTTAGCTAGGGTGCATGTAAATATAACATATGCCGAGGCATGCCGTGGGAGCCCTCGCAGATTGGGGTGTTTGCCATGTAGGCAGTTTTCGTGCTGCCTGGGTCATTGCAACAAAGAAACGCTTCTACTATTAAACACTATAAAATCTGTCAACAGAAAACATTCAAATCAGAACAACAGGGTGCCTGTGTTTACTTTTATGTCGTGTAATTTGTGTTTTTGTCGTAGGAAATTTTTCAGTATTCTGCCGGGCAAATTATTATAAACGGTTGTGTTAAAGACGCATATCCGCATGTAAAACTATGACGTTTGCCCGGTTGCGTCTTACCTTGATTGGCTCAATCTTTTCTACGAGGTGGTGATGACTGGTCGTGGCGTGAAACCTTCGGCTACTGGTTAATCACCTCTATTTAAACCTAAAAGTCAACGGTGAAAACCACACGAAATGAACCAGGGTTCGATTTCATCTGCTCTGCTCTGTCTCGTTCTTGCACGTCAAGCCGTGTGTTTAAGTGCTCGTAAGTTCCATTGATTGATGCTTTGGAAAAATGGTTACTGGTATTACAGAGGTTATATTACGGCAGATTATGCGTTTGGGAGAAAATCCATGCAAAGGACGCATGGACGTCGTATTAGTGCGTTTCGCGGTATTTGGAAAATATGTGCATTGATAAATGTAAAATACGCTTGATCACACATTCGAACTTCAAACTATTATCATTAAATTTAATGCCTCAAACGAACCAAAAATCTACCAGTTTATTCCGCCTCAGTCAGTTAGCGTTCGCTTAATAAATCGCAGGGTTAAAACAATGCCAATTTAAGTATATGACACTGCCAACTTGTAAATAATCTTCGTTTAATACATTTAGATGCTCTTCCTGCTGTGTGCAATTACACTTATCCGTATATCACAAGGGCATCCGGTCCGCTTAACATAACCGTTTTAACTGCAAAAGAGCCAAATGTAAGTTTTAACGTGTTTTTGAGAAAATATGTTGGTCAATAAATACCTATTATTTTGACCATTACGACACCGTTAGCTGAGCTCAGTTTGTTTCTGACAATATTTCTCAAAAAACACTACGGGTTAAATCATAAGATGTAATAACCTTTATGACTCAGGCAGTGCCTAGATCAAGCGTCACGGCATGTTTAACAAACAATCAAATTAGAAAATAAACTCCGTCTAACGTTGTTGAAATTTGCGCTATCTATCGGTACCTGATAAACATGTTTTAGAAATATCATTGTCTTGTTTCAAAATAAGTTCCATATTTGACGGTTTCTGTAGCAGATCAATGGTAATCTGGAACTAGGTGGGCAAAGGAGAGTAGATGTCTAAGTAAAAACATTCTGGCAACGCAGAAAGTGACACTGCTCGTGTATGGCCTTGGTAGCTGGAATTAGTTTGAGGATGTTTCTAACGAGTGAATGCATCAGCACACGCTTTGCTGTGTGCCTGCTTAGAATAAGTATAGTTTATCACTTAGACTTTTTTCAAACCGTTTTTATAGATTCAGCTTAAAATCATAAAAACGTTTAACATCTTCCACAATACCCTTGAATAAATGCGTTACTTGCGTTGCACTGGCAGAAAATTCCTTGCCATGAAAAAGCGGTCAAGCATGCATCCATTTATAACACATAGTTAGTGAAATTCGCCCTTATTTCCGTTTTGTTTTCAGGAAATTTGCATTACTCAAAGAAATGAATCGTATGTGATCGAAAATCACATGTGTGTTGACAAACTTGGCGTGAAGCTCTCGTTTCCTTGTCCCTACGTGTGCGGTAAGAAAATTCCAATACATACTATATTTCACTATTTATCCTAATTATGTTCTTTCCAAATTCATTTTCTAAGCGTACTTAGTTGATATCAAAGCAAACCGGCAGACTGTAAGATGTTCAAAAACCGTGATTGCCTTTTACTGAAATTTTATGCTGTGCATATCTGCCTGTTAAGTCGGACTGACTGTTATGCTTTGTATATGCGACAAGGTTGGCTGTCCAAACAATAACGTCCGATTCATACGTCCATATGTAATAACTACCTTACTTATGCATTATCTGAGCATCTGTAAGACGGAGCAGGTTTAGCCTCTTGTGATTATTCATAAACACATTAAAACACTGTGGTCTTATGTCTCATTGCTTTAAATGGCGTTACCAAAAACACCGTAACTTCAAATGCTTACAGAGTAAAACGCATAAATTCTGCGTTTCATATTTTGTCTACAATGTGAAAAACAATATTTCAGTTCATTGGAGACCACACACGACATATACGTTTTTTCAATCATTACATTACGGAGGACTCGTTGGCCTTGAAACAAATACCCTTGAGGGTTTCACAACACACTTTAATCTTTAATTAAAGAACATGTTGGTGCGTAATCTAAATGAACAATGAGCTAAAATAGCAAATCCGCGCTTCACCTTAATCCATAAAATTAAAAAAATAACCTGAAAAATTTCATTGAAGTCACATTCTTCTATCAGTATTCAGACTCAATGAAAAACAAAAACGCCTCTGAGTACTCCAAAAGTCGTCTGCCAAAAACGCATATTGTAAATTGTTTATTAGTTATGCATTAATGTGGTAGCGTAGTTTTGGCTGTCCAAACAATAAATTCTGGCTTATACGTTCATATATATTCACTGCACCTTACTTATGCATTATGTGGGCATTTAGAAGACAGAGCCGGTTTAGCCCCTTGTGCTAAATCATATGCCTCTTAAACCTAAGCATATTGAACAAGTGTAGTCTAATGTCTTGTTGGCTCTAAACAGCGTAATAACTAATTCTGTGCCTTTAAATGCCTGCAGTTATAAAGCGTATACATTTTGTCTTCCATATTTTGTCTACAGTGTGAAATATAATATCTCAGTTCTTTGGGGAGCACGCAACAAAAATGCGCTTTTTTAACTATTACGTTATGAAAGACTAGTTGCGTCTTGGAAAAAACTACCATCGACGGTTTCATAACACATTTTAATTTTCACTTAAAGAACATGCTGATGCGTAGTCCAATTGAGAAGTGAGTTAATATATCACTTCTGCACTCTACCGTAATCTATACAGTTAATAAAATAACCCGAAGAATTCCATTAAATTCACATTTCTCCACCAGTATTCAGCCTCGAAAGAAAAACAAAGGGCGCCTCTGAATATCACAAACTTCGTCTGCCATAACACATACTGTACACTAAGTATTAGTTTGAACGTTCACTCGGAAGACAGCAAAAACGATAACAACGACTGCGCATGCAATAAAGAAACTACTAACGTCAACATGAATTCAGACAGATGCACCTAGAATGTGACTTCTCTATTTCAATCTTTAATGAACTTAACCACCAGCAGGACTACAAGCGCATGCTAGCGAATACGTATAAAACGAGCACAACAATCACCATAAATGCAACCTCAAAAAAATTACTTTTAAGAAATCTTGTTTACACTAAAGCTTTTAGAACATTTAATTATTTACTCTAATTAGTTGTTTGCAGACATAAATCACCTAAATTGTTCTAGCATTTTACTGTAAGGTTTTGGAAATAAAAGTGTGTTTTACAGTATAATTTCATAAGAGCTAATGACACCAATTACCGTGCCATGCACTCATAAAAAACTGGCTTTTGTGGAACTCTTATCTCTTTTATGGATTACACCTTATAAATAATGCTGCATAATCGGTAGATATGCTTGTATCTCTCTTTAATGTCTGCGCAAATTACGAAAGCCTTTTACACAGTTTTTTTATAATAGCACGCCAACCTACACTGAAACCGCTGAATTTAATTGGAATATTCGGTTTATCTAAGACGCCCTAAATTTACCTTCATTTACCTATCCTGTTAAAATTATGGCTTCTGCATTTTGATTGATGTCGCTGTGACAAATACATAGTAAGTTTTTTAGACAAACACCATCACCGTAGCATAGAAATTCTTATATTTCGCCAAATTACCAATATAAATGTTCGGCAGGCTCCATGTTTGATTTGTGGAACACGTCGTTGACGCCTTGCCGACTTTCGACCGACCGAAGTCGGTTGACGCTCGCGCTTATCATATTGCTAACCACTAACCATTAATAGTGTATGCCTTTTACTATTTAGTTGGCAGCAATGTATCCAACAATTTCCACGATATTCCAGGCCGGAATTGATGCTGAATGCAGACAGAACGCGGCCTTTTATTATGTGCTGGTACCAACGTCTGCTGTTTCTTCCAAAATGTACGTAGCAGCGAGTGAAACGTAAACCTCCTGACAACAGGACACGAGTCCTTATCGCATCTGTAGGCATGCCATTGTGCAGTATTTGCAAACCACAGAGTGACGCGCATTGTTTGAGCACTGATAAGTGGCTACTTAAAACCGTTTTCGAAAAATCAGACTAAGCATTGCTTGTCCAAGACCGTCGCGACTATTTACGTCAGTAGGTTGACAGCGCAAACGAACGCACCTAATTAGAAAAGGTAGCTCGACATTAAATATTGATCTGCAGTTGTCTGGCAGCTATCTGTTTGGTTAAAAAGTGATATACGATTACGACAATATCTTTGTGCATGTTACCTGTGTCGGTGTTAACTTATTCGCATTATGGGTTGGCCGATAAAGCAAAAATGCATATGCGGAAGATGTGGGAAAAGGTGGCTGCATATGTCTAATGCAAAGGATGCCAATGACGATGCATAAGACGGCTGACTTGCTCTTTCTTATTTCTATTTTCGCAGAGCTGCATTTTTGCTTCCTGACCATCCAGATGGCCGAGGTAAGCGGAGTGGACGCAATCTACTTGTATTCCCACTCCTATGAGCACATAGGAGGCGTGTACAGAGAAAGGGGAATGTACGCAAAAGAAAGTGAGTCTATTGGCTATGTCGTCTTTAACAAGACCGTTCTTTAATTAAACGTCTTTACGAGGACTTGGGCCTTGAAATTTACACAACCAAATTTCCAAGTATTTTAAGTGAGACCCCTGAAATTATAAATGTATCAACGTTTATTTTAGGCAAAGTGGTGCAGATTTAAAAACAAATGCATGTGCAAGTTTGCCATTTAGTGCAAATTATGAATAAATTGTTGTTGCTACGTTAACTAAAAATGAAAATAGCGTCAATTTTAATTTGCGTAGACGCGTAAGCTTGCGAAACATCATGTTTTCACTTTAAAATTAATATATATTCCACACTTCCTTGTAGGTCACTTTGATCTGCAAGGGCCCGTTGTGCACTGCGTAAACGTTCAAAATTTAGAGATTACCTGGAGAGTAAGAAAACCAGCAGGCGTTGATGTGGTATGCAACTTTTAAATTAGCCTATGCTGAAGCACGATATACGTGATAGACGAAAGAGGCATTTTTCCAGATACGTTCAAACTAAATGCACATCCTCATTATAACATGTTTTCCTGTCTTTGTCTGACGTAAACCACAAGCCCCGTGCTCTCTTTTGACCAAAAACTGGATTTTTCCACAGATGTCATGCGCATACCAAGGATCATTTGATTTGCGTTATGTGAATTTAGAAGGTAATGGTTTTTTGCCTACCAAACCACTTATCTTTTTAGTGTATTTATAAAGCAACGGGGTCCCATTAATGCCCCTTAGTAACTTTGTGTACCTATGAGTTCAGCCCGAGGTCAGCAAATTTAAAAAGAACAACAAGTTAAACAATTTTTTTCAAACCCCCGATACCATCATGCATACATATATTGACTTAGCAGTAACTATCGGATCTTACTGCACTCTGATCTGAAGTTTGCGCATTCGTAACGTAGTTAGAAATTATGTACAAAATGAGTCAAAGACAGGTAGTCAGCTAAACATAAAGAATTCCGATGAATAAATTAAAGTAACTGTCCGGTAGTCTTAACCGCATATAACTATTTCTTTCTGGAATTGATTTTGAAAGTTTTTTTGACGCATTTACCTCTTTCGGAAGTAGAGACAGTGTTTGAATCATTGGGATCATCTTATTTACATATCTAGGGAATTTGGTATTTATTTGCTCTGGCTAAGTCAGGGCAGTAAAATGTTAGCTTGCCTCACACCAAGTCAAATTAAATTACATTTTTCAGAACAGCAATCACGGTCCACATAACGGAAGTAATTTTCAAATTTGCATTAAACAGACACATAGCATATAAAACGCATAACAACGCCGGGGTCAAGGTGTTACTTATGCATTTGCATCCAACATCAGAGTTGGTGCGAAGAAATACGTCTCTCTTGTTGCATTGCTTCCAGAAAGTCGCTTGACGTGCTTCTGTTAATGGCATTGACTTTTAGTTACCATTTCAGAATTAGAAGAAAACATCTTAGTTTTGTTTGGGATGAGGAAAATTCCCCGCATTATAATGGGACAATGTTGATATGGGTGTAAAATAAACCACACATAATTAGAATGCATAGAGGCTTATATGAGTGATTGCAAGCGGATTCTAAGACGTCCTGCGCATACCTGCAGGCAGGCCTTGCTTGTCGTGGACGTTAAAAATTGCTTTAGCTCACTGAAATCCATCCTTGTAAATAGATAGCACGAATGCCAGTTACATTTTTCGGCCACTATTTGCTCTAAATGTAACACGTGTGTGCTTAACAAGTGCTTTATATATAAAGAGACTAAAGTTATCAGCATGTGTTAAGTTTTGACTCCAAATTACCAGTATTCCCACTTCTGTCAGGTCAATTACAAATATAGGCCTTTGTATCATTTTTAATGTCTTCTGACAATAGCCAGCTAGTTTTAAAATATTCACGAGATTTGTTTTTAAAACTATTGCATGTTTGAATATTTTAGAAACCATGGAACTTCAGACCGCTACTGTAACCGCGTCTTTCAGTAATAAAGTATTCAAGGGATTTACCTGCTGGATAAATGTGAACAACGTATCCGTGGCCGTGGAACACTTCGTTTTATGGTTAGGTACATTTACTCGCCAAATATTTGCGTGCATAATTTTCACATTTTCTAACATTTAGAGCACTTTAGGAGCTGTGTGTATTGACTGTCACAGAATGCTATCTAAACGCACACCAGTTACGTCTTGTAAGAAAAATGTTCTAGAAGGCTGTCGAATAATGCAACCAATCTTTATGTTCGGACAATATTCTTGTTGCTAACTATCCAATATTAATTTATTCTATTATAATTATTCTAAACATGCATATGCTGCGTCTGCAGTCCATTTACACTTATGCCATTGCAGACACAACATTCACGCCTTAATGCTGTGATATTAAAATGAATCCGACGTATACAGTTAAGGTTGACAGTCTGTTAGCTAAAAATTTTCCCACGCGTTTGACGGTAATGTTTTTTAATCTCGGTGCAGATGTCGCATATTTTGAAAAATCTGACGGCAAACAAAGACGATTAGTAGGCCCTGAAGAGGCTGAAACGGAATTATCTTGGAATTTTGTGATTTCCACACCAAATCAGGCGTTTGTGAGAAATGTGTTTTATCTTAAATCGCTATGCAGTTAATGAAGCTTCCTTCTTTGCCCATAAAAAAATTAATACTTTTACATTAAATGTAATGTTCTCACCAAAGCCTGTAGTAACACATTCTTATTGACAGGCAACACTAATGCGGCATGCCAAATACCAGATTGCTGTTTTTGAGCTAACGCGGTACTGTTTACTGACCAAATGTTTCTCATTAAGAAACTAATTCTTTACATCATTGCTATTTGCCCCATTTTTGCGTATACACTCTGTGCGATTCAATACTTTCGGAGCACATTGAGCAAGGGTGATCTTTAAGTTTCAAGGTCATAAATTGATAAGCAAAGATGCACACCTTCGTACATGAAGGCAGAACATATTTAAACTTATTTTATCTTCATTTGTAGAACTTTACGTGTCTGAGCCACAACGGAGTGAAATGTACTGGCGTCACAGAAGTTCCGGAGCCGGAAAAGTGTGGTATGTCACCTAGACGTAGTAATGATATCGTAATTACATAAACTAATTCAGCACTTAGAATGCGTTTCCGTAGCTCCAAAATGCCTTGTCATTTGATTATTGTGGGTTCGCACATATACCATGTAGATTCCAAGAGCGTCTGGCCTATACCATAACTGTTGCTAATAGTGTAACGATATCCGTAATAAAATTCCTGCAACCCAAAGGAAGAAATTCAAATGTGCATCTATTGCCAAATTTGGATTACCAGTGCGATCAAAAATTCCTTTACTAGAAATTGAAAATACCGAGACAGGGATGAAGTATGCGGTAAGGACAAGCATCGACGTGAACGACTTTGCCGCCTATGTCTGCTACATTGGCGAAGAGGCATCTGCCCAATCGGTGTACAAGCTCGGTGGGTGTTCTAGATTTATTTGGATATGCACATTTATCATGTAAAAGGTATTTGAATTGCACTTTTATTTGCTCGATTAAAGACATCTTGATAGTTATTTTGAAGGATTGCAAAGCCAAAAGTGCGATAAGCGTGCCATTCGTACTGAGGCAAGGATTTGTGCAGATCGATAAGGAGCTGTTCGGAAAAACCTATGGGACATTCGTCCGCTCTCACTTAGAGTATGCAGTCCAGGCATGGCGACCGTGGTTGAAGAACGATTATCAACGACTGGAAAGAGTAGAGGCGATGGCTACGAAGATGGTCAAGAATCTTCATAATTTGCCTTACGAAATCAGACTGATTGAATTAAATCTGTTTCCTCTAAATTGCAGGCATTTGCACGGCGATCTTATTCAAACCTACAGGATTGTCAAAATCCGTGAGTGTGCCCTAGACTTTGATGAATTCCTTGAATTGGCCCGGACTGACCGTCTGCTTGGTCATCCGTTCAAACTGCAAAGGAAACGAGCTCATTCGGACGTCCGACGGAACGCCTTCTCTCACAGGGTCATCGGGGCATGGAATGGACTCCCCGATGCCGTCGTTCTTTCCGAAAGTGCCAAATCCTTTAAGTGCAGGCTAGACGCTCATTTGTTGATAACCTACTGTACATATAATAATGATTGTTTTAGCGGCGGCAGTTTGCGCCTAGCTCACACTTACCGCTAAGTTCTTAACGTTTCGCTTTTGCTGATGTAATTGATGACTTTATTTCTGTTTATCGATGTGAATAGGGAGCTCAAGGGCGAAAGCCTCATTCTCTTAATAAACTGACTTAAACTGACTAAAGAAAGCGGTCACTATTAAAAGGAGTATTTATTGATGATGAAAATGGTAGAATTTGCATTTTGTATAACCATCTGCACACCCTTAACACAAATAAGTTCTGAGTACTAGCATGAAATGCTGTAGGCAATAATTAATATTATGCATGTTGATAAATTTGCTTCTCATTTTTAACAAAATCATTAACTAATGATTTTGAAAATAAAATGAAAGATTTATGTTTTTGCCTTGTGGTTTTCAGGTAGAGGACAGCTATGCTAAGAAGGTTGCGTTAGAATCAAAAAATGCCTATCAGTATTCGCGACGCTGCCCTCGAGGCATTATCCAGTCATCCTGCATAAGTATGGTCATATTGGAACAACATCCCACAACAAAAGCCATGTTAACACAGGCGGTGGAATTAAGGAATAAGAGCATATGAGCAAAACGACATGCGGTAATATCACTTGCGTTCCTTAAATGTTAAATGTCTGATAAATCACAGTGATTCAGAATAGCCACAATGATCTGTAAACTTAACCCGACGCTTTAATTCGTGCCTATAGAGGATTGCTCGTAAATCATGTTTTGCACATCTAATCGAATTTCGCCCGCGCTGTTTGAATTTTTAAACGGCTTCTCCAAAAATATTGGATAATAGAGCACCTCATCGACATTCTATCTTACGATCAGGAAGACTCATTCCCAAACTTCATTTGCCGCTGGAACTTCGCCTTGACCTACACCACCTACAGTTCACAAACACTGTCTCAATGTGCCTAGTGTTTCAGTGCAACGTCTACAGAGGCCGAGTCGAGTAATTTGTATTATTACTATGTTTGCTTGTCGCGCTGTATATATTCAGGTCCTACACAAATGCCAAATCTAGACTTAGTTGAAACGCCAATCAGACATTCCACTTTCGAGTTTTTCGAGTGACCGTTATAAAACCGTTACTCCTTAAATTCGTTCCCAAAGATTTTCCCTTCTACCTAATTTAAGAAAGCACTACGAGCATATGCGCTGCTGCCTAAATTCCGCCGTCGATCTCACGATCCTCGCAAAGCCGTCCGACAGCCCAACCCAATCGGCCGAATCAACGCGGTTGCAGCTCCTCCTACAAAATTATATTGATTGTACAGGCGGGCCACACGCAAAAAGGGTTTGTAGTGGATGTCAGCTGTTAGCCCTCAGAGTCAGCCATACCAAGAAAGAGACTGGACAGATATAGGCTCTTCTACAAATTGATAAGGTACACCTGAAGAAAAAAATTCCCCCACTTGAAGAATAACAAGGAGAAAAGCAAAAGTACCTCACTTGAAAGTCTCTATACAAATGTCTCCTAAACAGATACGACTGCGCGAAAAATAAAATTGACAGCAGTCAATAAGAAAATGAGAAAGAATAAAAAAGTTTGGTGTTAAAAAAACCCAAAAAAGGAACAGCCGCTGCTGAATTATATCGCCACACCCCCCGAACCAAAAAACTCTAAAACATTCCCTACAGTCCGTGTCAACGACCCCCTCCAAATCAGACAAAACTGGTATCGATTATCGAAACTGCGATAGAAAATGTGTTCTGTAATCGCCATCTAATATCCTTAAAGCATCAAATCCCACAGAGAGCGATACATCAACAAAATATACGAAAGATATCGCCTGAGACCAATGTCTCGTTATTCCAGGGACGGTGAATTAAGTGCCAACAATCATAAAGAGCGGGTTACGGAAGATCAAAGGCTTTTCCAAGGCTATTCCAGCAATATGGTAGAACCCCTGATGCAAATAAAGTACTGAAAGCCTTCCGCCTCGGAAAACGGACGAGCAACCACCCAGCACAAACACGCCCCGACCCCTTTAAGTTGTGCTGGTTTGTAAGGAAAAAGCTGGGTTGATTCTCTCTATCGGTGCTTTAGAATGTAAGGCACCAACGCCGGCGTTCTTTCAACCGGATTTCTAGCCATCAGAGAGGCTAAAATGTCGTCTTCTACTTCCAGAGCTGAGGAAGAGGCTCAGCGAAGGAGAACTGAATTTGGTTATCTACAACAACCAAATCAGCCAGCGTCCAACATTCTTTCTGCGGACGCTCCCCATCCGTATGACCGCGCAGCTGACATAGTAGGCGAAAGCCCTGAACGCATCGCAATTCTTTTATGACAACCATAAATTGCAAACTGAAATTCCTATATAAAAATGTGCAGAACATGTTATCGGATGTCGTCGAGCTAAAGATCCATCTATCTAAACTACTACCGCACACAATCTTACTAAAAGAAATTTGGTTGAACCAGCAAGTGGACAACCGTGAGTTAACTATACCAGTATACCAGCTGTTTAGAAGAGACAGGCGAGGATGTCAGGGTGAAGGTGTACTTACGTATTTAAAATAAAACAGATAAACCTACGTGTACTTCCGAGACAATTTGGATAACTATATAAGCACCGGGTTCACCGAGCCTTGAGATCCTGACTGTCTACCGACCGCCTAAGAATTACTTCACGGCGGGCGCCCGACCTATTAGAGAGATTCCCTATGCGGTCTAAAGTCTTTATTATGGAATACTGCATACACCTCTTATCGACTGGAGTTCAGCTTATGCATCTGGTCCAGACAATGCTTTCGACCGACGTTTGCTGGGCATGACGCTCAGGTTATTCCTCACTTAGCACGTCTCGTTCCCGACGAGAGTGTGCGAAGGGCAGCAATCAAACTGCCTAGGTCTGCTCCTGAATACGTCGCTGAACAGCACTGATGGGGAGCAATGTCTACCTTCCCTAGGTCTAGGCGACCACCTCGTACTGTTGTGGGAGTATTCCATCTTTCCTGTGTCCGGACAAGCCACCAGGGTCAGATAGAACATTTTACATGGTGAATTTGCCCAAATGAAAGCTAAACTACACAGCATAAACTGGGAACCAGCTTTTTCCAATGACATAATGAAGGAATAGAACGGGTTAAGGGAGAGCTGTTACATTTTTCTCAGAGACCACTGTTGTATTTCACGGAAGAAATTGAACAGCTGACCTCCATAGATAGCAAAAGCTTTAAAATGCGGTGAACATTTATTTGTGGTTATTGGGGAAATTCCTCTCGGATAGGACCCCTGTGTTGATAAATGTATAAAAGGCACATAGGACGCTAGATAAGAGGCTAATCCTCCGGACGCGAGTACTTTCGAGAAAGACCTACTGAATCGGGTCGTAGAAAATCCTGAGTGATTCTTTGGTTATATAAGAAGAACTACACGAATAAGAGATCCATGCCCATTATTAAAAGCTAGTAACGACCTAGAACTCAGTGAAAGACGAAACAAAGGCAGCACCAATATCACAATTTTTCGAAATCCATCTTTGCGAATGAAAGCAAATTACTGCCTCCCGACTGCGACATTGTGGGCGGGCCAACAAGTGAGTTTGTCTATTTTCCCGAAGCCATTGTTCACAAAGAACTGGCGACGGTGAATATGTATAATCACCTGCGCCGGATGACATACCACCGAAATTGTTGAATGAGTTAGCTGGAGAACTATCTAAACCGCTGTCCATGCCTTTTCAAGCTGTGTTCAAAGCAGGTTATTTGTACGCCAATTAAAAATATACACGGATCATACCAATTTATAAAGGTGGCAGTATGGAGTTAGCAAAAAATTACAGACCAATTAGCCTTAGTTCAATTTGCTGCAAAATTATGCAAAAAAATTAGGCGAAAAATAATGCGCTTCCTAAAAGAGCATGATTTGGTATGCGATGGCCAGTACGGATTTTATAGAGACAGATCATGCGAGAACAACCTACTTTATTGTTTAGAACGTTGGATCCGTGCCGCTGATGGCGGCAATGCAGTGCACGCAGTCTACGTCGACTTTAAGAAGACATTCGACGGTGTACCGCATCAGCGTCTCCTGTACAAATGAAGTCGAACAGGTATTAGGAATACTCTTCTGAGATGGATCCGAAGCTTCTTGATCAATCGCTCTCAAATCGTCTACGAGGCTTTTAAGCGCAAGTTGGAGCAGTGTACCACTAAACTTCATAATGCCACCTGACAGATATTGCCTTATCATCTCGTTTGAAGAGTTTATTATTATTATAATACTACCGTATATCAGTAGCGTTTGTTTGTTATTATTTTCCCGACTCAGTTGGATGTGAGAGCTGGCTGGAATTCAGTCCAGGGATTGGCGGCTAGAGTGAGACGCATCTGCTCAACTGAAGCTATTGAAGAAGAACTCCATCAACTGCGGAACACATCTCGCGAGAACGGATACCCAGATAGATTTATCCTTCGAAATATTGGGGAACGCGCCGAAAAGCCTACTGTTGCGACTGCGGAAAAGAAAGATGCATTCATAAGATTGCCTTTTGCAAGAGACGCAGAGAGCGAACTAGTCAGACGGCGCTTAACTACAGCTATCACGAGGGCATTCCCCACGGCGAATTTACGCGTATGCTTCACAAAGTCTTCCCTCCTCCGTTTGGGGGGTACAGACAGACTACTGTTGAAGGCCACATCAATGTGCATTTATTTATTTCCTTGCTGCTGTGGAGCAGGATACATCGGCCGCACAACGAGACGCCTGATAAAGACGGTGCTTGAACATATGCCCGCCTGGCTAGGCAGAGGTGAGACCCGGTCGATTTCGAGTTCTACTCTCTCACATTTACTCGATAGGAATCACCGAGTCGATGCCAAGGAAGCATGTCAGGTTGTCGACTGGACAACAAAATGCTTCTCTAATGCCTACTCCAACGAATACTAGCAACGGCAGAGGCAGTGGCAATACGGTTAGCGAATCCGGTGTTATGCTGTCAGAAAACCCTGACACAGGCGCTCTCTCTGCCGTGGTCGACGCAAACCCCAATTGATGACGCCATGTCGCCTCAAATCCCTGATTACAGTGAAGGCTACTCCGCGTACTCAATCATAAAAACATCACTCAAAGACTCTCTTACCCCCTCCCCTAGCTCTGAGGACCAACACCCGCCGACCTTGTCATGCGGGTGGCGTGGAGATTATGAGTGTTAATGACTTAATAGACCTTGAGACATCTCTAAACCCTGTTGATTTTGTATTTTTTCATTCCTGCCGAAGAATTAACAAAAACACGTTTTCGCCAACTTGACTTTTCAAGTTGGCATTTAATTTGTCTCCTCCAGAAACTGGGATTGCACCTATTATCCATGGACAGAATACTGTACAAAACAGTTAGTAATGTCAATATTTTAAAAACTTGTGGCAATTCGTTTATCAGGCTGGCTTTTATATTTATTGTTTACATTATCACATTTTTGATATGATTTTCTTCATCGTGAAAAACAGGCAGCTCACAGTTTCAACACCTACGTTCCCTAAAATAAACTGAATTTAAAACCCTTGCCACCATCGTTTGCTCCATAATGTATAACTTTTGGGTATTAATATACAATTCGTCGTAAATTCCTATTGCGCTCTTGAAGGCAATCAATACATTAAACAACTAAATTACAAAGCCCGGCGGGGTCGTGTGATAAAGTAAATGTGGGTCTAGTTCCCTCCAGCCTATTGCAACTAGTGGCATTTACTAATTCTGCTACACGAAGCTGTCTGTCCACGTAGGATTTTCTCATCAATTGCTGCAGGGCCTTCTCAAAGTCCTCCCGGCCAAAAAAAATAATACGTGTCACGGCAGATTTTTAATGATATATTTTATGTAACTGTGGAGCATTCTGCGACCTTAAATAAACAGAAACTGTAAGCAGGCCACCATCTTTTGCTCCATAATGTATAGTTTTTGGGTATACATTTACAATTCGTCGTAAATTGCTTCTACGTTCATGCGTATGGACGTGGCGCTGAATATATGTGTGCGTGTGTGAGGGTGTTCTGCGGATGAAAAATAAGTCCTTTCGGTTAAAAATGGGCTTTCTTTTTAATGAACTTTCAAACAATGCGAGCTTTGAACATGTGCGTGGCGATGCAAGCAAACAACATCTTATGCCTATTACAGGTACTACTTTGGGTCATACGACCCCGTCAATCAATTTTTGTTGGTATTTCTCGTAGGCGAGTGTTGTTGTTGACAAATGCATATTTTTTTCTCGTCGAAAGAAGACAATAAATCAAGCGTTAAACATTGTTGAGTTATTTTTCGGATCTCATATTCATTGAGAGCTGGTAAGTCATTTTTGGGTGTAGAAAGAGAAAAGCCCATTCAAACCAAACACGTTTATCTTCGACTATAGCTTCCTGCACTCCTGTCTCCGAAATTTTCTATTACCCAAAGTTTTCACTTATCCAGCAACTAACGTTAGAAGCGTGCCTCGGATTGTATATCTAGTGGCCCAGTCTGTTTGCGAAAATAGTAGTCGCATAAATCTCCGCCTTTCCGCGTCCTCGATTTGTATTTGATTCCGCAGGTCTCTATACATTTTAGTATTCTATTTCGTGAGAATTACTGTCATGAAGCCTTTAGTCACATGGGATATTGCTTACGTAGCATAAAATAGCATAAATGTAATAGCAGAAATTGCAAGTAAGAACTTTTAGATATTCCGGAGAGTAGGCTGACCATCTTAACGAGATGAAGTTCGTTCCTAGTAAAAAAACGTATTTCGTCCCTTATAACATTTTACTTGCCAGCATTATGACGTAAAGTGGATACACACGGACTCAGTCAACAGCCTGAGGTGGATTTATTATTGTTAAAGACCAAACTAAGTTGCATGCCTTCTTATTCCGACTTGTTCTTGGTAACACAGTCATCAGCCCGTTATATGGTACGCACATACTCCCCACGCTATAAATCAGAACGGGTTGGGCAGTGACTGGGGTCGAGATATAAAAAAAACGGAGTAAGGTGAACGACTCAGCCCATTTGTATCACTAAAATATGTCTGCCGCGCCTAAAGCCATAACGGTGCACGATGAACTAGGAGGATGTCTCTAACATCTTATTCGGTGCACTGTTTGTTTTGTGGGTTCAGTGGCTGAGTGGCATACAGAAAGTCAGGCAGCAAGGACTCCTTCCGAGTGTGGTCTTTATGACACTCCCACATAGTGGGACGAGAACCGAGTGCGGAAGCAGACCCAAGTGTGGGGTCCGGCCCTGCCAGCCCATTGCATCACCTCCCCCCCCAACCTCCGGTCTTTTTGTGCATGTCCTGATAGCGCGCCCAGGCGGGTAGGATCGATCCTCTATTATCCCTAAAAAACCGCGCGCAAGTCACCGCGCCCGCTCGCACACTACTGTGCGGTCGACGTCGTCGGTCACAATGATTGAACTGCCATATCACATAAAGCTGTCGTCTTGTAGCGATCATGTCCTCTGCGTCCACCTGCTTTCCATTATACATACTGCTTTTACACTTGTATTTCATTTGTTAAACCATGATAAGTATTTTCTCCAAATCGTGGCATGCTGTATGGGAAATAAATTGGGAAGTAGCAAACAGTACATGTCACCTGGGAAGGTAATTATCTGGCTGTAGTGAACGAATGAATGAAATTATGTAAAAAAGAGAGAGGCAGGTATACCTGGGGGACATTATGAAGATGGCAATGACAGCACATGCACAAACCACCACCTACCACACACAAACGCTCTAAAGGGATTGCCATATATTATGGTTTCATTGGATCGGCCCCTTTTAATTTCCTTTGTTATCGTTAGCACTGAATTGGAACATTTGAATTGATTTTTCTTAGTGCACCCGTCAAATACTTATCAAACTTTGTCTTGAATAATTTTATGCGAGCGAACCGCTTGTCGTAGAACTCTCCATCACCAAGGCGTATTGCGGAAACGTAGTCAACATAGCAGTTATTTGCAGGTGTATGCCTGTCCGTCCAACCAGTGATGTTAACGCTCGCTGTCATATGTCCAAGCTTTATTATCGAAGCTGGAAATCGAAGCAGAGTCTTGGCCTAGTAAAAGAAAAGAATAATTTTGAAATTCTGCAACAAATCTCAGGTACAATATATTACAATTTATGAGAAGTTGTGAGTTCATAACATACCTGGCGCCAGTATAGATTAACTGTAATAAGCACATTTTGGCAGTTATATTTCAGTAAATCCGGATTACGAAACACACGACAACCCGTCACCCGTTGAAAACCTCCAATTTCAAGGGGCATAGAAAGGACTTGCGTATCGAATGTAAATAATTTAGTTTGTTCCCTCAGAAGGATAAAACTCCGCAGAAGGAATTCATTAAAGCTTGTGATCACCTAATCATCAAAACATCTTGCATATTCATGTCAAGGAATAATCGCATGTTCAACAATCACTCTGGACAATTAAGACCTACTTCGAGCAGTCAGAAAATGCTGATAAACTTTTGAGTAAAAGTTGATATTTTATTGCAGCTCTATGCGGAAATATAAAAAGGTGAGCAGAAAAGCAAACAAGATTGTAAACAGTTACAGTAAACTACTTTAATTAATCGTATAATTTATCGAAGACAACAGTACAACCGATTTTAACGTCTTTTTTGCTGACTCAACATAGTCTTTTAAATTTGAGAGGTCACGAAAATGTCAAGGTTTCTAGCAATCCTTTTAAACGATCGAAGCCAGTTCTCTGAAAGACAAACGCATGCCTGCTACGCGTGTCGTCTCACACTATGCTATCTTAAGATTTCTTAAATTCTGACAGGGATCGAATAGCACACTTACAAAAATTTAAGACATAAAACATTGCAGACGCATGTAAACAATATTGTCTTCGTGCAAAAATAAATGCGCAAAAGACGTTTATTGATATTCAAACGTTAAACAATTCTTTAAAGATGAATTGTGTGGGTAAGACAGCATATTGCAGAGACTGCTGTTAATGGAAATGTTCATATAGAGAAATGACTACGATGCTGCTATGTTTGCAGATTACTCACGCTTGCCTGTCTGCATGCTAAAAGTAATTGCAAAAACCATAAAAGAACTGGAAATACTGCGACATTCATCATCGTAAGCCAACAAAGTGTATGGAAAACTGAGAGGTGTTCACAACTAAAATACCTTTCTGCAGCCGCGTCCAATCGCATGTTTGGGCTAAAGTCGACTGATGATTCGTTTTGAATACGCAATTGAACTTTTATCCTCATCCAAAGTACGCGGTTTAATTAGTGTTAGTTTGACGCTCCTGAATGGATAACGATTGCACACACATTAACCATCATCTGTGCAGATGCGCCTGACCTAGCCACTTCAAAGCATGCCTTACGTAAATTCCCCAATAGGCTGAGGCTTTCTTGGCAAGATGGATAGTCGCAACGATGTTCGGGGGCATACACTCACTTCTTCTCCTAGCAGATACTGGTTACATGCTCGTCAATGTGGGACGTGACGCAGACTTTTGAATCTGCCTCAGTGTCTAGCTGCATTCAAAACGACTTCCCGCAAGTAGCCTAGTTTGTAATTACTTCAAAACCCGAGAGTATTGCAAAGGCGATTCTCGGTATCAAATTACTGCGAGGAAATTCTCCGATCGCATCGTCCTTAATCGCCCCAACATGCATCTGCAACACAGAGGTCAATACTCAGGTTTCAGTATGGCCGGCTGATATCGACTAAGCCACAAGAAATAGTCGTTCAAGCCACCCTAGTATTTTTTGATAGTAGGTTTCATGACAGATTTCAATAAAGTCCTTTTTCCAACCCTGAAAAACGCAGTTAACTAAGAATTCCTAATGTATGATTGCAAATGTAAGACTTTAAGGTGATCAACACTTTAATCAGCTAAATTACAAAGCCCGCCGGGGGTCGTGTGATAAAGTAAATGTGGGTCTAGTTCCCTCCAGCCTATTGCAACTAGTGGCATTTACTAATTCTGCTACACGAAGCTGTCTGTCCACGTAGGATTTTCTTATCAATTGCTGCAGGGCCTTCTCAAAGTCCTCCCGGCCGATAAAAATAATACGTGTCTCGGCAGATTTTTAATGATATATTTTATATAACTGTAAATTCCTTCTGCGTTCATGTGTATGGACAGGGCGGTGAATATATTTGTGCGTGTGTGAGGGTGTTTTGCGGATGAAAAAAAGGTCCTTTCGGCTATAAATTGGCTTTCTTTTTAATGTACTTTTCAACATGCTATTCAACATGCCTAGGTAGTTAACTGGATATTCTACAGTAGTAGACCTAAAAGACAGCTGTCAGTTTTGCCTGTCCTCGCAATATTTCACGAGGGGAAAATGCTGTGGCTAAGGTTTTATCCTCGGAAATATGCTGGAAAATCAACAACTTATTTACTTTCAGCCTCAGGCTCACCAGAATGCAAATACGTGTGAGTGATAGTCTGTTGAAATAAGGACACATGTCAATAGTAGTGAAAATTCGATTCCCGGGTGGCATATCAAAAGAAGAGGAGGCCTTCACCGGGAGAGGTGTATTTGAGGTCTGACGTTTCGGTTAGTCGTTTCTTCTCCCACAGTGATTGGTTTAATGTCAAAAAACGTCGTACATTTTTTACCAACCTGTGTTTTTCTTTGGCACCAAAAGGCGCCCTGCTCCCCGACAGCAATGTTTAGAGGGGCCTAAAGTCGAATCCAAGTAGATCATACAAAATATCTTCAAGAGTTATTAAAAAAGATGTTTCTACAAGACAGAAAGGGTGGGTTTTTAAAACTGAAACTGTGTGTAATAAAACGAAACGACTGATCTGCAGGTATTGCAGTATCAAATTATCAGACGGAATTGATTGCGTTTTTTCTAAGAAAATCGGTTTTTATAGCAGCATGTTATCTTTGGAAAAGGGTCGCCGGTTTAATGTTCTAGAGTCAGATCCGTTAATGGTTAAGTCGCAAAAGTTCCCACTCGCATTTCTCTGTGTAATGCACCCGTATGTTCCTATCATTTTGCAAATATTCCCTAAAATAAGGGGGCCAAGAGCAGCGTTTAGAGCCTTTGAGCAAAAATCTATATTACCGTATATGCGGACAATTATAAATGTCATTGGCGAACGTAGACATGGCTTGGTAAATCAGACGGGCATTTTGACCTGTGCAGCAACTACAGTTCCTTAAAAGTAATTCTTGCCACACATTGATGGTAGAAAGTTGTTTGAGAACGAACACATCAATTTTCTAATACACAGGCGAGTTATCGTTTTAGCGTCGTACCCTCAAGTATAGTAAATAGTGCCATAAAAAACCCTTCGTTCGAATACGTTAATTTTTTCCTGGCATTTGCGAAGACGTGATGATTGACCAATAAAATGATAAAAAATAACATTTACGTCTGTGCAAACTCGATTATGTTTTTACGTTATTTGGTGACGGTAAAGTAAAAAATTAACACCGTTAAGTGTGTTGCTGTTCAAATAAAAAGTATTCTGGACACCCGTGATAGTATAAAGAAACTAGAACAGACATCGACAGCAAAAAGAGCTGCATAATGTGTGCATCCGTCAAATGATACAGAAATAAAACCGATTTCTGTGAGGTATATACAACATACTTGCTCTGAATTGTACCTTTGATTGGGAATGGTTATTTTAGTTGGGTCGTATAGGCTAGGTACCGGGTGCCATCCTCACAATATATTTCACTTTTATGAATGCGCTTTTTGCTAGCTGCCTGTTAAAAAAACGCACTCTTTGTAAGATGACTACTTACCTAATATAGACGTTTGAAATTAATTTCTCATATATCTGCTACTCCAAACATATTTATTAGACAAGACACGCAAATATCCTTTTGTCTACAAATCCAACTGTAAATTACGTCTTCTCCAATGTTTACAGACAAAGAAACGCCAGCATTTTGATCCAAAGTCTAAAATAATGAACGTTTTGTAAAAGCGAAATGTCCATTCATGCGGTATCATGAATAAAGGCGAAATTTCGAGTTCCTGGAGTATCATAAGTGAAGAACAAAAGTCGACCACCGGAACACTGTGTTTATTGTCCTGTGCTTTCAGACTCGTACAGTAGTCCATCATCAGAGGTAGTGGCGGCAAAAGAACAAGCGAATGTTATATGGCATGCGGGCAAATCGTCGACTGACGGCGCAAGACGGGAGGCGACTAAGTGGGGATCTGTACACCTGCGACAGATCGATAAATCGATGGACCGAGTTCTCATCCAGGCCCCACGCTTCAATCAATTCTCGCCCTGTTTTGTCTGTGGCATGGGCGGCTACTTTGGTGCCTGCGAAGTTAAACGCGTGACCTATTTCGTAGGTGTGGGCGACCAATTGTGATAATGCGTCGCCTCATTGCACAGCCAGTTTATGTTCGTGTATGCGCGATCCGAGCCAGCGCCCAGCCTGTCCTGTGTAAATACAAGGACAATTTTGACACGGAATTCGATACATACTCCAGATTGCTCTTCAGAATTTAATTGGACTTTGATTTTCATGACCCTATTGCGCGCAGTGGCTTTGGCGCGGTGCGCAATTCCAGCGCCCAGCTCCGCAGCAATGCGCTCGTTCGTTTCTAAAAACGCCCTTGATGTATGGCAGAGAATACGATATCGTCGCAGGTGTTGTTGTTTGAGTCTTTTGGGAACGACCGCGTAGGCAGCGACTTATGACGGCCCGGATAGCCGTTTTGCATAAACTGATCGCGGAGATAACGGGCCTCACGTGCTCTGTCCTCCGGTTTGCTGCAGTAAGTTGGCATCCGTTTGAAAAGCGTCTTCACGCAGCTTCGGTTATGCGTCACCGGATGGTTGCTGTGAAATCTAAGAAGCTGAAAAGCATATCTGTACATGGACAAGGTACGCTGTAATTTCAAAACTCCTACTTGATAGGCTATCTAAATTGAGTACCGAATCTGAATTTGGTTGTGAGG